ATAGAGAGACTTTTCCCATAATAATGAGATTTTTGAGATATTCTTTCTTTCATTGAGATTACTCTCCACCAAAACTTCATAAGACAAGATATCATAAACCCAAAGCGATTACAAGCTTTCCAACAAAATATTAGGATGAATAATTCCTAAATTCTTTAGAAAAAAAATAGAACGCTCCAAGAAGCCTCATATTGTTTCATCATCTTAAATCTTTCTTCCCACGATGATTGATTTATATTAAAAAGTTCTAATTTCTTTCTGTCTAAAGATCCATAAAGTAACTTCAACTGTGTTGATCCAAAGAACTTTAGCTTTCTCTTTCAGTTCACCGCAGCAAAGCACCATAAATGTTGTTTCTTGCTATTAATGAATACCCAAAGCCTTGAAACTATGACTCCCACATTTCCTACTTTAAGAACAATGAAAATAGGAAGTCAACATGAGCCTAGCTAATTGGCATATGTCTCTTGAGTTCGAATCTCCCACCCCTACTTGTTGTATCAAAAAAGAACAATGAAAATAGTAAGAGGTTAATGTTTTCTTCCGCTTAAAAACAAAGATTACACCAACTTGGGCTAATAGTCATGTACCGACACTGTTTTTGAAGCCTTCCAGCTGAATTTAGTCCTTCCATAAAGCCTAATCGTACCAATATATTGACTTTTCTAGGACATTTTACTTTCCACGAGGTAGATGTTCGCCATGAGAGCCTCTAGCTACTTCCTTGAACATAGAATTAACTGAAACTCTATCCCTATCCAAAATCCGTCCTCTTGTATCGTCTTTCAGAAATTGAAACTCGTTCAATCAACTAAAATAATTTTACCTAATAGTAAAGGGCCAAGTTTCCTTAAAACAACAAATCGCTTCCAATTAAGTTTCACTTCCACAAATCATGGCTATCCAATTTATGTTTTACAAACTATTGCAAATCATGGTTATCCAATTTTACTCAAAAATTATAATGGTAGATAGATGTTTTGGAACACATACAATCAACTCAATGTATGAGAAGATGTGAAAGATAATGCCTTTTTTTTTATAAGAAACCTGGGAAATGTAATACTCACAAAAAACAACAACCTAATGGCATGGAGATGAGAGGACCCTCTCCCAAAGAGCTAACACAAGAAGTCCTTCCAAATGTGAAGGATCACAGTGAGAGAGTAATTACAGAGGAATTTGTTTCTAGGTGTAGCAACCACCTAGAAGCTGTGAGCTGTATAATGCTCCAAAAGGAAGTCAAAGTAGAAGTAGAGTTCTCAAAGCATTTACGATTTCTTTATAGCCATAAGTTCCATAGTAGAGCTATCGAAGCGAGTTTCTAGAAAATTAAAAGATGACACCTTTTATTCAAAATGAAAGCTGAAAATTAAATTATTTCATAATTAGAGGTAAGAAAATATAGAATGTGTGCTTAAATTCTTGTTTTTTTATTTTTGGTAAGAAACGTGTATTTCATTAATGATAAATATACAAAAGAGCCCCAAAGGCTGGGTTACAAAAAAAGCCTTCCCCCAATAGATGTGATCATTGAGAATGTAGCTATTAAAAGGGGAATAAAAGCATTTACACATCTAAGGGCTTCTGTTGTTTCTTTGCCCCAAAGGAAAGCTTCCACCAGATTAACCCACAGGATTCCAGCCTCATTCTTGAAGGGATGCCAGCCAGCAGGGTGTTCAGGAAAAAAAGGGGGTGGTATGAAGGGGGACTTGCCATCCGAAAGCCGTGAGAACCCTATCCCAAAAGCCAGCAGTGAAGTCACGGGAAATAAAGAGGTGGTCTTGTGTTTCTGTCTCCTTAATGCAAAGGTGGCAGCAGCTAGGAAATAGGGCCATATGGGGAAGTCTCTTTTGCACCTTGTCTTGAATGTTCGTGGCATTGTAACTAAGTTCCCAGCAGAAGAATTTAATTTTTTTTGGGTAGTTTATCCTTCCAAATTCTGCTGTAGAGGTTCTGTTGTCGGGTTTCATTCATAGACAGCTTGTTGAAAACAGATTTGGTGCTGAAAACGTTTGTTGGGTCTAGTGACCAAACCCATCTATCTGCTGTTGGAAGGGGCATCACATTTGAGGTTCTGTGAGACAAATGCATCCAATCCTCAATTTCATTATCTTTTAGCGGCCTTCTGAAGCTGTAATCCCAATATTTGGTGGATTTTTACCACAAGTCAGCTAATTTTGTGCCCTATTAGTAGCTATGGCGTTGAGATTTGGGTAGAGATCTGCCAATGTGTTGGATTACATCCATCTGTCATTCCAGAAATTGACATCGCCTCAGATTTGTGTGCTTAAATTCTTGTTCTAGTGCTTTCTGGCAAATTTTAAGTTCGAGATGCTTACTTTCAGTGTTGGGTAGCTTTGTTCATATGTTATTTTATAGAAAGTTTTAACTTACAACTTTTCAACTATCAATAAAAAAAATTCTTATTTCTTCTACAAAAATAAATAAATAAATAAGAAAGTTTCAGTGGCAGAATTCCAAAGTCGTAGTTCGAGTCTAAAAATGAAGTCCAGAGGCAGCAATGCGGACCTCTTGACCGTCCTTTGTTAATTACCCCACCCCACATACAAAATTCCGATTCCTACAACAAAGCAGCTAGAGAGATGAAATAACAGAGGAAGTAACCTGTGGGAAACATCTGATTTATGTATTCCAGAGCGCTTGACTTGTCCATCGTTTGGCAATGATTTGAATGCTTCACCCTAAACACGCAAGTTCCAGAGAGAGTCAACTTCACAGCCAATGGTGATCTATCTGTTCTTCTTGCAAAAATGAAAACTATGAGAAATGAGAACGGCAGTATGGTAAACTTCCATTGTAGTTAATTCAAATATATTACACCAGTTATGGAGCTTAATTGATCAAAACTACCTCAGATCACATTTATCTCTGCAACATGCCCCGTAGAACCTTAGCAGCAGGTGCAACAGTCGTTCGCCGCAGCTGAATTCTCCGTAGCTGATAGTAATGGAAGTAGAGAGGTGAAGAGATAGATTGATGTGAGAGGAAGCAGGAGTATGGGATGGAGATCAGCGGGATCTGGGAGTTGGAATTGGAACTGTGGAGGAAGACGATTGTCGACGTTCGCCAAAGAGAAGATGATAATCGACAATCGTATGGGTTGATTTTAAAGTTTTAGTGTGCAACTGCCCTTACCGAATCAAAATTGTGGGTTTTTTGTTTTTTTTTTTTTCTTATAACAATATTATTCTTCTGTTTTTTCTTTAATATACTTTTTATGTTTTTTACTATATGGGAACCTAAAAATGTGACTTCTTTGTTCGAGACTTCAAATTCGTTAATATATGCCAATTCAATTTAATTCAGTTACGATTCTCATCTATCCCTTATCGGAAAGTCATAAATTCAAATTTTCCTACCTCATTTATTGTACTAAAAAAAATGTTCGCTGATATTATGATTCTTCATTGTAATTAATAGAACTCTTCGATACTTTATATGTTGGTGCGGTAAGGATTAAAATTGGAGGAGATGGCACAATACGGTTTTACATCGTTGAATTTATGAGAGGTAACCTTGTGTTACATATACATTTTGTATAACAATGTGCTTTTATCACTTAATTGTGCCTGTGTTTGCTCTCGAATATATATTTAAGTGGTTATTGCGAATTTAAGGGGCATACAAATTTTCGAAACTTAATCAAATGATTACTAGGAACAACCATATTATGGTGGTCTCGTTCAATAATTTGTGGTTAACTTACATAAAATTATAGTTGATTCGTATGATATGTTTCACTGATACTTATAGATTTTCAAATTTTCATTTTACCTTTAGACTTCAAGACTATTTCATAATCATCTTTTGTCAACTTTTATAGTAAAATGAAGATGAAAATACGGCGTAGCAATTTTTTGTAAAATAGTGGTATACGACTCATAGATGCCAAGTTTCAATTATGTCCATAAAGTTGAATGAAACATTTAAGTTGTGATATCGTCACTTCAAAAGGTTCATATATTAACCTCTGACATTTTAAATGGTCTAAAATCACCTTACTAGTCTTCTAGTTCCCGAAAATATAATGTGACAATTAGTTGAAAAATAATGGATATGTGGCGGGTGTACTTTGACGGTGAGCTGTAAGATAGTTGAAAGGTTTTAACCACACTTTAATTGTATCGATTAGGTGAGAAAACACGTTTAGGAAATAGACGGCAAATTCTTTGACTCGAACACCGACAAAATTGAAGGATAAAATAGTAAAGGAAAGTTTCACGTCTTGTGAAATAAATACGTTTATGAGGACAAAAATATAAAACAATAGTGTCACAATTTTTACCCGCATGAAAATAAATATATAAAGAAACAATGGTATTTCCTAAACGTGTTTTCTCACCTAATCGAGAATAAGTATGATCTCCTATAAGTATGATCTAACATTAATTTTCGTCAATTGATCGCGTGATAGATGTCCAAAATCTGTGTTATCGTTCGTAGCCCACTTACCCCCACAAACTTTGAGTTTCCCTATCTATTGATATGAGGACGAAACAACATTTCGAAACCATCTTCAAATTCATATTCTCATCTCCCAAATAATTTAAAATGTGACCAAACTTTTTGTCTTTTATTTTTATTTTCCCAACTCACCTTGATATCATATTTACAATTTCATTTAAATGGAATAAATTAGTAAAAATTAACATAATTATGATAAAAGTACCGTATATATGATCATAAAAATCTCCTTCCTCAAGATTCAAGAGGGAGCTCATCCCAAATTTATGCATAGTCCAATAACACATAGACAAAATATATTTTTTAAAATTTGCATAATTTCCGTATGGTCTACTTCGCTATATGTCACTAGATGTGATCTAGTATGAAAGCTATTCTCCCTCCCATCATTATTTTACAAGCAAGATAGGAGCTAGAATTCGAACCAATTACTTTTTAGCAAGGGACAAGTATCCGTTTAACTTGATGTTGTCTCGCAATGTTGAAATACTTGCAAATAAATAAAAATCCAGGAGACACAATCATAGCAAACGTATAAGAAATGAACAACGCAGTCCCCACAGAAGTAACACGGTTTGGCGGGCAATTTTGTTTCTTCTGCCCACTTGAGAAAACCCGACTGGAAATTTCACTCCTCCGCTGCGCCCACAATTACTGATCACCTATGCCTTTCGAGTTATCTGTTCGTCGTCCAATTTCAGCTTCTCTGCAATTGGAATCCGTTTTTTTCCGGCACAGATTCATCCGTCTTCAAAGGGCTTCACTCGCTTCATCGAAGTAAATCTCCCGGAGTTTGATGGAGGATGTTGTAGCTCGGCTTCAAGGCGCCGAAGAGTCGACCTCAGTTTCTCTGGATCATCCCGAGGTGGTTTTCTTCACTCATTGAACGATTTACTTCAGCTATTCTTATTGTTCTCCTTCCCGTTGGTTAAAGTTTTCATTGGCATTCATCAATTAGCGGTATGATTTATTATCACTGTTTTAAGATACCGTTCTATGAGTTTGTTCACTTGCCGATCTGGCTGGACGGGGAGAAAGTAACTTGGTATGGTCGGAGTGAAAAATGGAAATAATCCGACTGATTTTCTCCCAATGTAGATACCCAATACTCTTCAAACAGCCCCGAATGGAAGTTATAGCATCTAAATGTAAATTTGATCAGAGTTTTGGTTTATTTCCTCAGTTATTACCACAAGAATGGTGTGGTTCTTTTACCTGATATTTTCCCGGAATTCGGGAGAAGTATATCAGGAAATGAGATAGTTATCGACGAGCCATTCTCAAAGATCATCTGTGGTTGAGAAGCCCTTTATACGCGTGGAGAAGCATTGCGTTTATTTCCTTTTGTTTTTGCTTCTTTGTTTTCCGCCGGCTTTCAGAACTGTCATTACATGCTATTTTTCAGGAGAATCAAGCTGTCTGGTCTCTTTTGAAAATGGTTTTCAGAAACCCAAAATTCAATGCTGAAGCCTGAAGCTTCGTGTTTTCGCTGGCTTTTACTCTTATAAGCTCTTTGCTTTCTGATAAGTGATCGAACATAAGTTGATTACGTGTTCACACTAGTTGCTCCCTTTTCTGTTGGAACTTCTTTTCTTTCGTTTTCTTTTGAATAAATGTAGGCAATAATAAAATTGCTATAACTCAGCTCCATTTTATCTTTCAATCTTGATCAGTATTTCGAATGGTTAGGTACCTTAGTTCAATTAGTTTTTAACTTGACATATCTATACTCTTTAATTCTTAGGATACTGAATTATATGTACTAAAAAGGATCTCTGATTTTCCTTAGAAACATGTTCAAGAGGAGGAAGTTATCGAAACCTCTTTATTGCAACAGTCTAGACGGCCCAATATATCCTCTCTGCAAGTTCCGGTAAGGACACTGGAGAGTACGTCGTCTACTTTTTTGAGGTTAGATAGTGATAATTCGTCAACATCAAGTGCTAGCTCTATTAGGGGAGGATTGCCTCCTAAACCAAATTCAGTAAAAATCAAATCATCTGCGAGAAGCTTACTTGCTCAAAGAAGTTTCGGAGCAAAAAATTCACTCCCAGATGGTGAAATGACTGTTCCCATTTTACCAGAGAGGCCACCATCAAATGGACGTTCAGATAAGCCAACTCCTTCACGATCATTTTCTCTCAACAAGTTTCTCTTTGCCTCATCTACAAAAGTTGCACATTCTTTGCCAGCAACACCAACTTCAAATCCAGATATCGATAGATTGAAAGCAACAAATGTGGAGTGTCATACCAATTTTCCTGTAAGTATCCTGTTCAAATTTCTTAAATTTCACAAACGCAGATGTTATTTCATATTTTTGCAGATAGAATTATGTACAAATTTATCACCTAACATCTACAAGTTGTGAATATTGCATTATTGTTGTCCTTCTGAAAGTGGATTTTGTTATTATTTCAGAAAATTGAAATCAAACAGCATATTGCACGTTCATTATCAGCTCCTCTGAATGCTAAGTCCAAAGTTTTAAGGCGGCTGGATTCAGTAGGGTTAATTCGAATTGTCTCTGCAGGTCCTCGATTTGCAGGGACTGGAGATGCCTCTGATTCTCAAACAAAGGAAATTGGTAATGATATAAGTAGTTTCCATTGTATAATTAAAATTTATGGCGACTTTTAACATTGTGTTCTTTAAAATTACTCCCTAGTCCCTACCCAGTTGATGTTCTTTCCGTGTTCTAATGATGTTCTCTCCATGTTCTAATCGAATTGCTACTATGAGTAAATTTACTGCATGTATGTTTAATATATATTTTTTTAGGAAATAAAATTGTCATTGGATAAGTCACTGAAAACTACAGAAACTTAGTAATAAGGCCAAGGCAGCTTATAAAAAAAATGCTCGGCTCGTTTCCATAAAAAATGTTTATGAAAACACCTGATGGTACAAGGTTTCCTTAGTTTTTTTTTAATAATTTTATTTAGTGAATTTTGTAACAGAATTCTTACAGTAGTGTACTTGTTCACCGATTCTGAAAGTACAATATAAATGATTTAAGCAGTTTAACTTGTTGATTCTGACTTGGTTTTCTATGTTCACCCATATAAAATATTAATGTGGCAAGGTCAAATTAGAAAGACGGTAAAACCCTTGACCAGCCCCCTTCCTCTTGTAAAGGAGATTTTAGATCTCCAAATCCTCGCTAGAGGAGGTTGGTTGTTTTTATGCCACAACATTTTAAAATGTAGATATTATTAAATGAGATGATGGATAAGCAAAGTTGAGCTGTATAAGCTAAGTTTAAGAGTTGGTTTGGCAAGGAAATAATTAAATGAGCTACATAAGCGTAGTGGAGCTATTTTTATTTCTTCCTCTAAAATGGTTCACATTTAAAAATTATTTTTGTTTCCTGGACTGTTAATCAGGAACAACCACTCAGCTTTGTATTTTTCAGAAGGCAGGTTTTGATTAGGGGTAGTATGATAATAGCTGAAACACCTTTTTGATGTGCCTCTGGAACAGTTTTATTTTTATTTTATGGATATATATGTCATGTATGAGGAAAGGGGAGACAAATATTTTTTGTCCAACTCAATGTTGCTCACCTGTTGTTGATGCCAAGTTTGAAAACACTT